CACCGGCGCGTCCGGCGGCGGCTGGTCATCGGAATTGCTCCGGCGAGCTGGTCTCCCTTCGGTGGTCGTCCTCTCCTGTTTTGGTGGCCATCGGAGATGCTGGGGGTTGAATATATCCGACGGGATGAACGTATGTATATATTCGACGACATCTGAATTAATAACCTTCGAATCTTCTATTGTATGACCTTTACATGATTTCCAATATATCTTGGTCGAGCGATTTATTGGATTTCCCAAAACCTCTCGATCTTCTTTTTCTAAGACCTCTCGGTTTTATCTGAATTTTCTCTCAAAGAAGGAACTCTATTTTTCCTACATATTTTGGACCGAAAATATCAGCCCCTAAACGTGTGGAATAACGTGATCATCCATCTCAAGAGGCTAGGGGACCTAGTGTATTTATAGTCTACAATAGGGATCCAAAAGAGGTGCTAAATATGGGCTTATCCCATTAAGTTTAGGAATCTTAATTATTTTCCATCTCCTTTCCCATCTAGAATAATATTCCTCCTAATATTTAATTACCTTCTAGAAGACTCCATTGTCTCCTAACCCTATGTAATATTCTAGATTATCCTTAGGGAATCTAAATTATGGAATATAATTAATTTCTTAATTCCTAAATAGAATTAGATAATAAAACATTTCACTAGAGTAATATTATTGCTCTCCTCATTTAGCTCCGAATTATAATTAATTCGTCTCCAATTAATTTAGTTGATCGATTTATCTCCCTATGTTTAAGATATAACGTCCGTTGATTAATTAAATTACTGACAAAAAAATTAATCAACTTCTTATCCATTTCTGAAACTAGTACCACTCAGATCATTAATCATTATGTCGGATACACATCCGCCTGCATGGCTTGACATAATATTCCTTCATGAGCTCATTTCAGGGACGTCATCAACCCATCGTACTGGGACATAGGGACTGTAAATAATTTATAACAGCATATCATATAAACACTCTTACTTACCAAAATAGCGAGTATGTCATCCTAACATAATAAGAATCACCCTTGGTAATAAAATAAGTAAGTAATGAATATATATGTCCAGTTTATATTATCTTACAGCTTAAGAGTACGCATCAATTACTGAAGGTCTAGATTATAACAACGATCAGTAAATCTCCAAGGTGACTTCACTTCGCTTCGTTTGTACCCCCTAACGACGGATGGGTCCCCACGCTAAGAAATCTTATAATCTTATCCTTCCGCAGTCCGTTCAATACTTATCATAAGTACTAGTGTAATCCATCAGTCAAAGATCAACTGCATCAAGACTACACTATAGTCTTTTTCCAACAGGGGTCTCACTACCTGTCTAAATTGTGAACAATTAATTTATATTTTACAAGGAACCGATAATATGATCTTTCTGTTCGACACGACGAACCATATTATCTACAATGTAAAATAATGGAGTTATGATTGCATAAATAAATAAACTGCAAACATAAATACTTTGACTAAAACATTATTGCCAGATCAAAATGGAATTGCTAGAATCTGAAAGCTAAGGTTTTACAGCTTATCTAACAATCTCCCACTTATGCTTAATAAGCTCATGGTTATCACTAACCACGATTTTCTTTCAATATAATTCTCAAAGAACAATCGTCCTTTCTGCCATACATTCGACTCCCAATCCTTTAACATGGCCACCATCCGCTTTCGTAATGCCAATTCTAAAAGAATCTTCTGGTAGTCTTCTGACGTCACTAGGCGACAAACATCAACCCTGTCGCAGTACTTTGCAACGGGCGTACTTGCTCTATGTGCCACTTGCTTTATTAACTAGTGATTCTTCTCTGTCTCAACTGCACTAACTGTCATCACAATCAATTGTGACCTGACTTCGTCTGACGAGGTTTCAAATTTTAGTTCAATGGCGAATCCAATCTCTATGTCGCTCGCCATTTGGGAAGGGACGTACCGAGTTTCTTATGGTAGAATCTGTCAACGTATTACCGCTTGACATTTTTCTAATCTGCTTGGCTCCCACAAGTGAACACAAACCATAAGATGGTTTTTTTACTTGTTATTCATGTCACTTTAGAAATCATAATTCTTTGTAATCCATAGGTTGCTTATGGTTCATTTGGTAACCATACATATTATCCTTAGCCCTTTTACGGAGCTTGATCATATGTTCTACCATGAACCAAATGCTCCTGTCTAGGATTACTTTGATATCTACCTATTATGCCCTTTGGAAATAATAGATATCAGGTCTCATTTACTACATTGCACATAATAGGCTTCCTTTTGCCAAGCACAAGGAAATGCCTTTGTGTTACACATGCTACGAATGAGCCTTATGATAGTATCTAGACACGAAGTTCGGGATAATCACAATATTTCTTTTTCTTGATCCTTGATCTCAAGAACATGTGATGATTCCGCATCATTCATATCTTAACTACTTGGATAACCATACCTTTGCATCTGTTAATAGTTTCACACTGTCTCCAGTGATCAAGATGTTGTCTATGCATAGTACGAAAGTACCACCACGCTTCTATTGCGCCACACACAATGCTCATTTGGTGAATAATCAAATCCACGATTCGAACTTATCAACCAAACGACTAGCTAACCACAGTCCATAAATGAACTGTCTTAGTTTACTGACTAGATGCTCTTAGCTCTTTTCAATGAACACTTCTGGGTGCTGCTCATTGGATATTCCTACAAGACTTCCGGTTAAGGAAAATTTCTTGACATCCACTTTGCCTAATCTCATAACTCATATGAGTGGCAACAGCTTTAAATTCGGCTACTGGTGAAATAGTTACTCATAATAGATCCCATTCTTTCTGAGTCTACTATTCCACAATCAAGCTTTGTATTTGTATAGACTCAAACACGGCTACTGATGAAAAAGCTAACTCATAATAGATCCCATTCTTTCTGAGCCTGCTATTTCACAACAAGCCTTGCACTAAAGTCTTCACTTATAGATTTCGTCCAATAGCCATTATGCTACTTGGTAATTCTATAAAAACCCAGATTTGATTATAGTCCATGACTCCAAA